AGAATAAGGTTGCCATGCAGCTGGCAGCAATACTGGCCACATCCATGGAATCCTTACTGTTGAGGACAGTCTGATTTCAACAGTCAGTACTGAATAGCCATACGTACAAAGCACCCCTTTGGCACAACAAGAGACAGTTAGGCTGCTACTAACATAGTTGTGGTGCATGTGTATGGTTGGCCAGTAATAATGTACACACATACATGCAGGAAAAAAAAAAGTGTACTCACTGCACAAAAAACAGCAAGAATTGGAGGCAATGTCCCATATATGGCATCGGCACTGGGAAGAATGGCATGCTATCGCATGGAGAACAGTACAGAGCCCAAGGCAGTAACTAGCCTAATAGATCAACAACAGCACAAACATATTGCTCATAAAGTTATCCAAGTGGAAGACACAATGATAAAGCACTTAATATAGGGGCAAGGTAATATTAGCTTACCAATCCTTCCCCTACACTAACAGGGAACAAATATCAGGCATAAATTGGTCTTTTAAACAAACTAGTGGGGTACAACAAGAATCAGTGCTAGGGTGCCAACTATTTACAACCTACATCAAATTTGCTAAATTTGTCAATGACACCAGTTAGGAAAGCAAGTTGTCAAGAGAAGGCAGACAGCCTGCAATGGTATAGAGACAGCTGAAATGGGTGGACAAAACATTGGAAGATGAAGTATAACGTGGGAAATGTGCATTTGCCCACTTTGGCAGGAAGAACAAAAAAAAGCAGAGATTACAAACAGACTCCAGAGCTCAAACGCAGAGGGATCTGCGTATCCTGGTACTTGAATGACAGTTTGAAATACATCAAATTAGTGGGACTGCAAATGGAATATTATCATTTACTGCAAAAGAAAAGGGGAATTTTACTGCACATGTACAGGGCCAATGGTAAGGCCACTTTTGGAGTACTGTGTACAATTTTAGTCACCTTGTTTAATAAAAGAATATATTAGAAGCAGTTCAGGGGAGGTTTACTCAACTCATTCCTGTGATGAGGGCTTATGAAGATAGCTTGAACAGATTCCACTTAAAGTCTTTGGAGTTTAAAACAAAGAAAAGTGATCTTATTGAAACATAATCGTAAGGGTTCTGATAGGGTCAATAACAGGAGGATGTGTCTGTTTGTGGAGGTGATATATTCTTAATCAAAATTAAGAATAAAAGGATCTGCCATTTGAGATTAGGAGAGCTTTTATTTCTGTGTAGTTGTGTGTGGAATTCTCTTCCCCAGAAAACAGTGAAGGGTGTGGGGAACTGAATTCATTCAATGGTGAGTTAGACAGATTTTTGTTAGACAAGAGTGTCAAGGGTTGTGTATACCAAACAGAAAAATTCAGTCGAGATCACAATCAGATCAGTCATAATCGTGTTGAATAGCAGAGCAGGCCTGAGGGGCAAATAGCTTTCTCTTATGTTCCATGTTCCACCCATCTCTCTCAGCCTCAGCGAATGTTGGAATTCACATTGCCAGAGAGTATGGGTGAGAATGACAAGGCCAATGGCCAAGAACAGCCTTCCACCCGAGGGTGCAGCAAATAGCATTCTCCCACACTCCCCATTGACATAAGGTTATTTGCACAAAAGGAGCAAAGGGGTCATACTTGAGCATGTCAGTGCTGTGCTTACTGGATTATGTGGAGGTGTACAAATTATGGGCACCCAGAGGACTGATGGACTTTTGTTTTGGAGGGGAGTCAGGTGTTGGCATGGCGATGCAGAGTTTCAGATTGATGACATGTCCGTGGCATCAACGGCTACAGATGCTAGCCCTACAGTGAGAGGTATAGGAACATCTGGCAGAACTTCTAAAGGGTATCCACACCCATACAAAGAAGGTAGAGAGGTCTATCAGAACCGCAAATGCAGCCAATTCTCAGGCTTCGAGATAGTAAGAACTGCCGATGCTGGAGTCAGAGATAACACAGTGTGGAGCTGGAGGGACACAGTAGGCTTTCAGTAACTAGTCCTCATCACCCAGTCATGGATCAAAAAGGTACCCACGAGACCAGAAAAAAATAAAACAGCCACCTGGGAATGTCTTGGTAACGGTGAAGCCAGCTTTTCAGAATCCTAAACAGATCTGAAGGAACCAATAGCTCTAGTCACAGACCACTTGTACATTTAGCAACAGAAAGGATAAAACTTGTTCAATGTTTGTGCCCGTTCTGCAGGAATCTTTATGGCAGTTGATGATCACTCTACCTGGAGAATACAGCAATAATCCTAAATCATACAACTCTCTGCACCTTGCTGGATTAGTGAGAAATGCCAGTTTGGTCAACACTCAAAGATGTCCATGTTGACCATTTTGATTCAACAATGATCTGCAAACAGGTTTCACAGCTATCTCAGGATGACCCCTAGAATTATCCTGTTTTGCTGAAATTCAGCACCACAAGCAATGGGTCTTTACTATTTCCTCAGAGCTCAGCTCCTCCTCCACTATAACATACAGTTCAGTGACCAGCCCCCTTTGTGAGGCAGTGTTCAGCAACAGTTCTACTCCAACATTTGCAGGAAGCTGAGCCTGATTGTACACTGTCGATGGACAATACCTCTCTGTGCTCTCCCCCTTGTAGGGTTCCTTTGAATTTTGCAGCCCTGGTCTTAGTAACTGTAGTCTACCTCTGACGCATGGCCTCAGTAGAGGTCACATATCCTGATGGCAATGAAGTTGTTCAAATTACTGCACTCTCAATCTCAAGGTCTCCCACCCGTTCCTACACTGCAAGTGTGGCAAGTTATAAAATGATACCCAATGCCTTTGCCTTCCTTGCTTAGCTAGTTTCCAGATCGCTACAACTGTTTACTCACACCTCTCCATGGTGTCCTACTGACAGACCTTCCAATTTCACATAATTGGTAGTACTCTGAACTCTGGTTGCTCTGCTAGGCTCCCAGAATTATAAAAGGCTATTGAAATTGATGTTAATTACTGCAATTACTTTCCTTTCACCTTTAAATGTCTTTACCCACCAGCCTGGCTGCCTCTAAGAATATGGACTATTGGTGAAAACATGCTCCATGCCATTTACCACCATCTTAAATCCCAGTCATTCTCCACTGAGCTGATTAAATTCCACCTGTAGCTTATCCTGCAAACCGCATCCTTTTGCTTATTGGTCAGAGTCTCTGCTGCAATCACTGCATTCCATTGTTGTTAATAATCTATTGAACAGAATATTGAGACAAATTGCAATCTGTAATCAAAGCAAGTTACCAATGGCCTGGATTGTTAACCATTATTACAGACTGTTTAAATGGGCCAAAAGGTGGTGAACACAGAGCCAAAAGATGACATTGGTTTAAAATGGGCCACAAAAAGTTTACAAAGATGGGATAGAGTCATATACCAACTTTCCTTAAGCCACGAATATTGCTAAAACTGTGACCTGGAAGACCTTTTGAAAGTTTTGATACCCCTTTAAAGAATGCTAGGCAAATTAAGATAGACATCCTACTTCCCTTCCTCTGAAGCTAAGTTGCACCACTCCCAGCTTATTCTCCCTTTGGCATTACAACTTACACTCCAACAAAATTCCTGAAATCAGCAGCAACATCACAAGCCAGAACATGCCAGTGTCTGAAATATAGGTCCCAAATATGATCTTTTTGCTAATACTGCCTGATCTAACACTCACCCATGACAGCAATCTGTCCACCAATGTGTACGCGTACACACAGAATTACACACCCAGTTATGAAACTTTAAATATCTCAACAGCCCCAGCGACAATCATAGACTCTACAAAATTTGTACATATTAGAGAACATTTAGCCGCTTGACAAAAGATTGCTCTTCTTGGATATTCCTTCACCATTCTCTTCAAATTCAGGATGGGATTCTAGTCGAGTTATTTTATCTTGATTAATGGCAGAGACTAGTACACAGCAACACAAAAGTTGGAGTACTAACTCGAACAGTCCATGTCGAATTCATCTGTCTGTGCCACTACCAAATCAAATAATCACATTATTATGAAATAAAAGCTAATGGTGCAAGGAGGATAATACATTGGCTGGCTAACAGATGCCGAATGGGTGTAAACTGGTTTCTCTCAGCTTGGCAAGATGCAGTGGGTGGTGTGCCATAGGGTACTGGGACTTCAAAATGACTTCAACGAAGCGACAAAGCATAGCTGACAAATCTACTGATGACAAACAGGTACGAAAGTAATTTGTTACAAAGTAAAGGGACACGAGAGTTACAAAAAGATGTTGACAAGATAAGCAAATGGGCAGAGATGTGGCAAATGGAGCATAATGCGAAAAAAAATGTAACGCCATTTTGGTAAGGAGGCTAAAGAAACATACCGTCTAAATGGTGAGAGATTTCAAAGATCCGAGATGCAGAAGCATCTGGGTGTGTCGAGCCCGAATTGCAAAAGTTTAGCATGAAGATACAGCAAGCAATTAGGAAAGCTCCTAGAATGACAGTCATTCCTCCACATGCGTGAGAGCTCCATTACTGAGCTCCCGTGAATGATGACATTCAAGATTGCAAAGACCATTAAAAATACAGGTTAAAATAAGTTAAAAATTGCAAGTTTACCTGTGGATGTTGAATTTTGTTTCTCCTTACTTTTTGGCATGGGTAAGCAAATTCATGAGTCTAGAACTTGTGGATATAGAGGATTTACTGTATTGAGCAGCAAAATTAATGCAGACATAGGACGCTATCCTTCAGTTATACAGGGCATTGGTCAGACCGCATCTGATGTACTGTCTACAGTAATGGAAGTAGTTCAGAGAAAGCATACTAAACTAATAACTAGGATGGGTGAGTTGTCTCAGAAGGAAGTGTTGGACAGGCTTGAATCTACTAGAATTTAAAAGAGAGAGACAACTTGATGGAATTGTCAAAAATCTGTGGAGACCTTGACAGGGTAGATGTGAAGAGGATTCTTCCTCTTATAGGGAAATCAAACACTAAAATCACAGGTTGCCTTTTTGAAAGAGTAATTAGGCAAAAACTATTTCCTCGGAGGACCGCCAGTCTTTGGAACGTTCCCTTCTTGAAAAGATGGTGGAAGCAAAGTCCTTAAATATTTTTAAGGCAGAATATACAAGTTCTTGTAAAGGGATTTGAAGGTTCAGGGATAACTGGAAATGTGAATCTTTGATTAGTCAGGTCAGTTATGGTCTTATTGAATGGTGAAGGGGCTTAAAATGGCCTACTCCTGCCCTTAATTTGTATGTTCCTAATTGAAACTTAAAAGCACCCTCCAGATTATATTCAACCTTATACAAGAAAACAAAACACTGAACCTACTGCTAATCTCTCCGGGTTTACCTGCTTCAATCCCTAAGCAAAAAAACTGACTTCCCAGATTCAGGTGTGTGCTATGGAATGCCCTAACAAAAAGTAGATTAGTTTAACACGTTACAATCTCCTCCCTACTTTTCTGGCATTAGATGTGAAAGATTTAAAGTAGTAATGTAATTTTTTTTAAAAGTCATATTGATAACTTGTATTAATTGATATAATCATCCATTGCTGGAACAGAATGGTAGCCAGTAATAGTAAGCAATCCTGAATATAACCATGTCTGTTTCGTAAAAGCCCCATAGAAACTAACCCAGTCAGCTCAATCATGATACCTTCATGGACTCAAGTACTGTCCCATTTATGTTGTAGCACTATAATATTAAAGATAATACCTTGGGTATCTGGAGCCAGTACCAGCTTTCAGTCTAAAGCTACTAAAATCACAAAATTCACCTTGCAAGAAAAAAATCTAAAAAGAACAAAGAAAAACAGAAAAGTGATTAAGACTTTTACTTTGTTTACTATTCAAAAAGAAAACAGGGAAGTAAACCACAGTTTATGATTCAAGTGTAGTGAAATGCACTCCTGCTTTTCCCTGGTAAAAGTTAGAAACTTTTTTTAAAACTAGGACTATACCACCACAGTCCCTAAGTAATTGTAATTCACATACCATATTAAATCAAAACAGAAATACATGAATCAGATTAAAAATTACTTCATAGTATAATCATCCCATCAATAAAACAAGAACCTTCAAAGCAGCCAAAAAAACAAAGTATTTTAAATTTTAAGTGCGATATGATGTATTACACACAACAAAACCCTAACATTTTTGCTTTGGTCAGTGGGAGCAGGCCATACTGCAACGTGTAAATAAATGAAGACAACTACATCAAATAAATGTCAGTTAGTGCAGTCAGACAACAAGTGGTTCATCCATGGTAAAAAGCTAATTCCCATATACATTAAAAACATTCCACATATGCAAACAAATCTGTAAAAAGTGCAATTCAATAACTAAACTGTAGAGGTGTACCTGATGTGAAATTATTGGAGAGAAAGATAGCTGGGGGGAGGCAAAGTAATTCAATGTTTTCCCCATGACCATCTTCCTTCCCTCCTACCAAAAATCTTAATACATCCTAATGTGAAACATTTAAGTGTGATTAAGCGGAAAACTCTACAATTCTTCTTGCACATTCAATGAAGACTGATCAAGAGAAGTTAAAACTGGTCCCACTCTGCCATAACCATAAAAATTTGAAACCAGATTGTGCAGCTGCCTTCAAAACAATGGGAGGTCAAGATTGCCTTTAGCAGGCATGAATCAAAATGCATGGTAATGTGAAGGTGGGAGGGGGAAGGGATGTAGGTGATGAGGGAAGTAGGGGAACCAGATTAAAAATCCTATTTTAACATAAAAACTTAAGGAAACCATTTAAAAATATTGTTTTAAAAAAAATCAACTTTTTCTCAACAGAAAATGCATCAAAGGGCAGTTTCACATTTAAAAGTATGTTCCAGCATTAAGCAAAAGGAAACAGCAGCAAAAACAACACAGCAATAAGTCAAAATATCCTCTTTTTTTTGTAATAGGAATCAGCATAATGACCACCAAGGCCCTGCGAGTGCTGCCCAACGTAGCCTCCATCTGGACTCACTTCAGGGGAAGGCAGGAGGTAGGAAGATGCACGTTTCTGACCAGTCACTGGAGACTTAAGGAAAATATGAACAGTTTATTCTCTGATCAGGGTTAAAAAAAAAATTGTACCTTAAAATTAGCTTCTATTAAACAACAGTATAAAAATTACCGCGGTGCTAGAAATCTTGAATAAAAACAAGGAAATGCTAGAAATACTCAGCAGGTCTGGCAATATCTGTGGTTAAGGAGAACAGTTATAGTAACTGTTTCTTTCTCCAGAGATGCTGCAGAGTATTTCTAGCATTTACCAATTCTTTTAAAACAGTCATTGCTATTAGAATCACTCAATTCCTTCAATGGAAAACCAGAATATTCTCCAATGGCATAACACTGCATTTCACCAGCAAAATGAGCCATACAGCACAGTAAATTTTTAGTTGAGTGTTCTGGTCTCTGCTGAATTAACTCAACAGCAGTACAGTTGATCACCACTCTGAATAGAAAAAGGAAAGATATGCATTTCAAAATTGTCTGCCAACGTGATGTATTTCAATGTTGCGTGTCAGAAAGGTCTTGGTGCAGCCCTCTTTTGTGACTCAAATACCCTACTCCTCAAAGGGCACAATCATCAAATTTCTAACACTTACTGCAGTTCATTTACCTCCATACCTCCTTCACAATTGTCTCATCGATAAGCCAGACATAACAAGCTGCCTCAAACTGAGCTGCGATTTCTGCACTTACGTTACAACACGAGGAAAGGAGGGAGGGAGGAAAGAGACAAGGCAGGGGTGTGACAGAGTTGGGGGAGATGGGCTTGATCGCATCTATAGTTTTGACTTCATTGTCCCATTCAATTCCTGATCAGGAGTTCACATCTGGCCTTAGGATTTCCTCAGCTCCAAATACCCTTTCTGGGTTCTAATCCAAACACTTCTGGTCTGGAGCTTTCATTAAAATCTTTACATGGAGGTTAACCCATTTCTCAAATTTTCTGAGCATTCTCCATTAAAAAAATCTTTGCATAAGTAACTTCAAAAAGGACTTTAGTGAACGGAACACAAGTTTTTCAATCAATGCGGTCTTCCCCCCCACTCAAGCTAAAGCAAAATTCCTAAAATGAAAGTAGCTACTATTTCAGAAATTTATTCTGTCCACTTGTAAAAATCTTACAACGCAAACAAATTCCCCCCATCCTACTCAGGAATTCCCTCTCATGCTGGTTTACAAAAAACAACATAGCTCCAGAACCACTGACAATGACAATCATTAGCCCCTACATAAATAGGCCAAAACCCATGCCATTAGTTCAAAACCCAAAAACTCTTAAAATAAATGATTAAAAAAATGATTAAAAATAAATCACACCTTAGTTCATAAATGAAAGATCATAAATCTGAAGTAATCTGTTTCTTTATTCAAACTGCGATTTTTTTTTTTTTAAATTTCTAGGATGCGCAATATCTTTCTTTGGTTTTGACATGCTTCCTGCAAAATGACCCACAGTATTTTGCCGAACAGCATTCAACTGTGGCTTAGTGTATCAGCTTGTAAACTTTTTTTAAACTACTACTTAACCCATGCTCAGTCTTTAACTAAAATTCTGTCCATCTTTTGTTGGTTTACCTACAATGAATTACATATTTCAGCACTTAAGCCAGTATGCTTTTCACACTCGTCATTATTCCAAAATCCACTTTATTCTTCACACTAAAAAACATCTACTACCTGTGCACCCACATTTATATTTGTTTCGAATATGTTCCAGCCCTTCTGTTCGTCAACCTTCCTATTTCTATGTAGTTGTTATATTAAGAGTGCACACCCCATGCTAAATCTTTTTTCAATGCCAATAACGGGAACTACATTTCAACACATTTCTGTTGACCTTTGTCTCGCATTTACCCACTTTCTCTTTTCATCCCGAATCCAACTATTAACAACCATTAGCCACCAAGACAGACAACCAATTCTCACTGGTCTCACTACATATGGACAATGAGGGACACGAATTCGACTGGGACAACACACCCATAATCAGACAAGTCCAACAGAGACATGCCAGTGAATTCCTAGAGGCCTGGTATTCTAACCGGAACTCTATCAACAAACTCATTGAATTGGACCCTGTATACAAACCACTGAGAAACAGAACCAGAAGTGGTACTAAATACCCCAACAAACTGAGGTATATAAATAACAAGTGGGACAGAACACTGACACTTCACTGGAGGCAAACTTGACGATGTTAGCTAGCAGGGTGACCAAACATTTGTAACCAAACCTACCAGCTCGGCGAGCATGTCTACAACCTTATTAATAACTATTACACAGTTCAGTTTTAAATCATTTATTCATGTAATTAAAATAATTTCATTTCTCAGAAGTAAATTAAGTCGTACATTCATACAGGACCAGAGACATGCCGATTCATCCTTGTATGTCCCCTAAAAGACACTAACTACTTTAAATAGCTGTTTTGCATTTACCTCAGGCTGGATAATAATTACCCGTAATTATTGCCTTATCCTTCTTGAATCATCTGCCCATTTTTCCATAGACTTTAACATCCTGCCTAATTTAACGTCCACTGTCCAATGGCCTCCTTTAGAAAATTTTACAATGTCTCTCTTTTTTAAAAAAAATTTTAGCCCTAAGGATTGGATTGATCCAATCAAGGAAATTCACAAATTCAAGCACTCTGATTGTTTATCTAATCAAATTCTATCATACTATCCCACACCCTTTCCCAACCTTCCAACTCTCACTTTTTTTGAGAACGTTAAAACCAGAAATACCAAATTCACACTTCCAAAATTAAAACAATGTCTCTTTGCTAACTACTATATAAACACAAGATATCTCAATTGCTCAGGTGGCTAATTTTTAGCAATCTTACCCATTTACATCTTTCTTCCTTGAAAAGTGATCCTACTTTTCACAGGATCATAAAGAGGCCACTCAGTCCATCGAGTCTGCACCGAACCTCCAAAGACAGTCCCAGTCCCCAGCCTATCCCCTCCACCATCACCATCTTCAAGTCAATTTTGTATCCAAGTGGCTAGCTCCCCCAGATCCCATGTGATCTAACCAGTTTACCATGCAGATTCTTGTCAAACACTTCATGGACAATGTCTACTGCTCTGCCATCAGTCGTCTTCGTCTCCTCTTCAAAATACTCAATCCAGTTGGCAAGACATGATTTCTCACACACAAAGCCATTTGTTCCTCAACTTCCGACTCTGGTAGTCTATAATAAAAACCTAACAACGTGGCCACTGCTTTTTTGATTCCTAAGTTCTATCGACAAAGCTTAATTCGATGCCACCACGAAGATATCATGTCTCTTTATCACAATAAATTACTCCTTAACTAATAATGCAATCCTCCTTTACCCCTTTCTGTCTTGCCTTAAGATTCTACATCCCAAAATGTTGAGCTGCCAATCCAGCCTTCCCTCAACTACAACTGTGATGGCTACTATATCACACTTCCACATGTCAATCATTGCCCTTACCTTGTCCATTTTTTCCTGTGAAATTTCTGGCATTAAAGACCATCCCAGCCTTGCCTCACTCCCTTGAAAATCAACACAGCTACATTCCCTCTGACTTGATTGTTTTACTGTACGATTCAGCGCCCTTATTCTGTTAACTGTGTCCTCTCCTCCTGCCAAATTAGTTTAAACTTCTCCCAACAGCACTAGCAAACTGTCTCACAAGAATATTAGTCCCACTCTAGTTCAAATGTAGGCTGCACTGCTTGTACAAGTCCCACCTTCCCCGGAAGTGGTCCTAGCGATCCCAGAATCCAAAACATTTCCATGTACACCAACTGTTAAACTGTGCACCTATGTGCACTATTCTCTCATTTCTGTGCTTGCTAGTCACGAGGTGATTAGAGTAATCCAGAAATTATGACCCAAGAGGTTTTGCTTTTTGGTCTAATGCCTAGATCCCTGTATTCTTGATGCAAGACCTCATCCCTCTTTCTACCTATGTAATTGGTACCAACACATACCACGACCTCTGCCTTATTGTCCTCCCACTTCAGGGTGCCCTGAAGACAGTGACATCCCAGGCCCTATCAACAGACAGGCAACACCATCCTCAAGTCACACTAATGTACACTGGCTCCAACTATTCTACTGATGTCACACAATAAGTAAGTAGGTGGCGATAAGGAGTTTCTGCTCTAGCTTTTGGAGGGACCAGACACGTCTACTAGGTCCTAGCATTGTGCCTGAACGGATATTCTTGTTCTTATTATTATCACACAATAAGTCATCTTGTTATCCAAGATCAGTGTCTCTTCTGTAAATACACACAGACAGTATATCCTTTGCCTTTGTTCATTAGATTGGTCCAATGATGGCAGTGAACTACCTCAAACAACAATTACACAGCCCCCACAGTGGTATGGGTAGCAAATACATCAAGGTACCAAGAGTGATCATCTGGGAAAATAACTGACTCATCCATCATGTCCCTTGCCTTGCAATGACAAGACACATTCACAGCTGCAAAAGCATCTGTTATTCCTTGAATTAAGGAATGCTCCACCACAGCACTTCAATGGAGCAAACAGGTGGCAAACAAATGGCCAAGTGCTGCAGTTTTAAACGCATGGTTTCCCTCAACTGGTTATCATTAAGCTACTCAGGCTAAATACTGAATATCTATGAAGGAAGAACACAGTATCTCTTTCTCTGGTTTTCCTTTTCTATCCCAATGGATAACAAATATTTCCCTTCCTCATGAACATTGACTGCTGAATAACTAACTCTTATTTGCATGCAAATGTTGCCAGTGTGCTTGAAGCTTTGACATAAAGTTTCAACAGGAGCAGACACAGACCCCAAACCTGTTACAGAGATAGTAGGAACTGCCGATGCTGGAGAATCTGAGATAACACGGTGTAGAGCTGGATGAACACAGTAGGCCAAGCAGCATCAGAGGAGCAGGAAAGCTGATGTTTCGGGTCGAGACCCTTCTTCAGAAATGGGGGAGGGGAAGGGGATTGGGGTTCTGAAATAAATAGGGAGAGGTGGGGGAGGCGGAAAGAAGATGGATA